TACACAAGGTACCTGTGTAGCAAATCATTGTGAAGCATGCTTTTAATATCTCACAACTTTATTTGCCAAACAGATTTCAATAAAGCTGAAAAAGTGAAATGTGGGACCTATGGGTGATTTTATACCAGGAGGAGGAAAGTTCAGAGCAAAAACAACTGCTGAGGTAAGAAGAAAAGTATGAAAAAGATATCATTATAAACATGGGTACTAGTTAGTTACTAGTTAATTAGTTACTAGTTAATTAGGTAATTGCTTAACTAGGTAATTAGGCACTAGTTAATTAGTACCAAAGAGGCATTTCGCAGGCTTCTCGACGCTGAGGAAAGTCTCTTCCACTGGCAAAGGAGAAACACTCACCAATTCTAGGGCATGACACACGAAGCACAAACTCTCCACGAGCACACATTTCATTATCAGTACACATTTCATTATGTTTCTTCTCACTCTGCTAATTATTTAAAAAAGTATCAACAAAGTAGTTTTAACAAAAGAGTGATGAACTGTACAGTAGTAGGTGACAGTAGCTCACCAGAGAAATTTCACACCTGCCAGAAAACATAATTTAGGAAGAATACAAAGTCAAAGTGAGCCTTGCCATACATCAAAGTAAAATAACTATGCATTACCATCTAATCTAGAGGATTCCATCTTCTACTCATTTCCCCCCACACACACTACTAAGATCTTTTTGTTGAATTTAGGACTAATTAAACGCATTACAGTAACTTTAAACTCTATGGAAAATTCATTTGTATTAAAAAGGATATAATATCAGTTTTTTAGGTTTAAAAAATGCTATTTGGAATAGAAACGGTGTGTACAATTTAACATATAGTCTCCCAGCTTTGGCTGTTTGCACTGAAGCACTAAATAGTCTGTACGACAACTGAAATAACTAATATCCCCCCCAAATCACTGCCCATTCATTGCAGGCCACCTTGCCAGTATCAAGTGAATGAATTCATAGGTTTGAGGTTTTATCCTCCAATTTAAGATCCAGGCCTTTTATAAAATACCTGCAATGTTTTTTTGAAATATCCAGTGAAAAACACATGCAAACAATTCCTGGCACTAACCTCAAACTTTGGAAAAAACTGAGACCATCCATTGTCATGAACTTAAGTGTTTCAAAGAGATTCTGTGAAACTTCTAACTCGATGAAGAGTTGACCCCTATAAACACGGGCTCTGAATCTCTGTCACTTATCCGTCACAGGTCACTTTGTTCAGGCCCTGGTTTCCGGCCGTGACGCCCCTGCAGCTGACAGGAGCCACCTCTCCTGGGTACTGTTGCACTCTCACAGCGGACACCTCCTTCGCGGCATCTTCTTGGAGAAAAGGAACAGGGTTTGGGCAAATTGAAAATAAAGTCAAGGAATCAGTGCATATACATTTCGGAAATAATCACTTGGTTTTTAAACACAGCAAACATCTTAGAAAAAGATTTTTTCCATTTATAAGACATCCATATAAGTATTCTGATGGCACCTATGTGCTTCAGGGTATTTTGCACCTCAGTTCTCTAGCTTTTAGGGTTGGATAATCCGTTGGGGGCTGTCCTGTGCATTGCACAGTGTTGGGAGCACACCCGGCCACTACCAGGGATGGGTGGATGCCAGAAGAATGCTCCTCCTCGCTTGTGACAACCAAAAAATGTTTCCAGGCACTGCCATATATTCGCTGGGAAGCAGGATCGCCCCCGGCTGAGCGGGCTGACCGCGCATCCTGCGGACCTATATGGTCGCTGAGCTGCTTGCCCGTCTTGTTTCAGTGCTCACGGAAGGACACCACCAGCCTGAAAAAAAGCCAGCTGCTTGCAGGGCACTTGTCCCTACTGCCAGCGAACACATGCAGAGTCAGTTCGGGGTCATGCGTTGTGCTAGGCACCCAGCGCGAGCCACGCCCAGATCCAGAACCATCCCTGCCCACCCTCCAGCGACTTATAAAATAGCTTCACTTTGGGAGTTTAAAAATAGGTCACTGTAAATCCGATGATATTCATCCCTCTACCCACTTCCCAAATTACTCCCCAAGAACACCCACGGGACTTCACCGCCTGCCCGGGAGCCCACCCTCCCCAAAGCTCCACCTCCTGTTGGGGCAAGGTTGGAAGATATGTTTGCTGGTGGTTTCCTGAAGCATCCTGCGGGGTGTCCGGGGAGAGCACTAAGCTGCGTCTCACGGATGCAAAGGCTGAGCCACTGACACAGCAAAGTAGAAGCCAGACCATTATCTGGATAATACAGGTCAAAAACCCTTGAAATGCAAATTAAGTATTTTTTGCCAACATAAGCGGTGTACTCTTTTGGTTCATGCTTTGTCTGGGGTGCGACAGCTGACCATCCCACATGCAAGATATGCTTTAATGCACCCAGTCTGATTGCTGTCCGTTTTTTATTTTATTTTATTTTTTTTTATTTATGATAGTCACACACACACAGAGAGAGAGAGAGAGAGAGAAGCAGAGACACAGGCAGAGGGAAAAGCAGGCTCCATGCACCGGGGAGCCCGACGTGGGATTCGATCCCGGGTCTCCAGGATCGCACCCTGGGCCAAAGGCAGGCGCCAAACCGCTGCGCCACCCAGGGATCCATGCTGTCCGTTTTTAAACCTCCGAGGCTTGCCCACCTCTGCCCTCTGGAAGGTGAGCAGCAGGGCAGGCTGCCTCCTGCGTGCTCTGCATGACCTGGTCCGAGCGACGCTCCTGTTTCAGACACTGGTGTAGGTCCAGCGGGAGGGGGTGTAAACGTGGGTCCACTTTCATCCCTTTGATTTTGTTCATCATTAACTTCAGCGCCACTGTCTTGGAAGCTCAGGGTTGGCTTGGCCGAGGAGTCGTCACCCCGCCGCGGAGGCCCATGGCCAGCGTGGAGGCCCCTATGCTTTAACTCTGCTGCACAGCAAGCAGGTCACCAACCAAGGGCGACATCTTCAAAAACTTTTCCGTCGTCCCCTATCATTCGGTCTCCTAGTGAAGGCTAGTCTTATTCAGACAGAATTTGGCCCAAGGGTTTTAGAGGCTTTAATAGATAATTAAAAGAAAACACTGCATTTAGATGTCAAGCAAGAGCCATCAGGTGTCTAATTAGCCGGGAAGTCACACATTTGTAGGGACATTATAGGGTCCCAGTTAGAGCATGGATCCCAGTAGCCTGGCCTCTGGATCCCGTTATGGTGGTTGGAAGATTTGAGGTGGATCGCACCTGTTTATTATCTTCTCCAATAAAGGGCTGTGTTCATTATTTGCTTGTTTGTTTTAGTGGGAATGATGAACCCTGCTAACGCCAGGCCTGGTGTGGACTCGAGGTCCAGGCCCACCTTGGATGGGAGCTCAGTGTGGGCGGAGCTGGCACTTACTGAAGAATCAGATAAATGTGACGCCAAGCACCAGGTGGGGATGTGCAAAGCAGAGGCACAGCCTTAGGGTGTATGTGAGATGGGGCTGACCGGTTCAGGGGTCAGAGCTGAGATCTCTGGGATCCAGAGGTGAGATCCTGGGGATCTGTGGGTGAGTCAGCAGGAATTCCAGGCAAAGATAAGGGTGAATCTCACCTGGCTGGGACGGGTGGGATGCCGCTAGCCATGTCCAAGGTCCCAGTCCTCAGAGCCCTGGGTGCACAGGGAAGGTGTTCAGGTGGTGGGTAGCAGGGACAGAGGGGAGAGGTGCTGAGATGGGGTCCTGGGCTTTGGGGAGACAGGGTGGATCCCGTCCCATGTCTGTGGCCTTGAGAAGTGGGCGAGGGTGCTGCCAGTGTGTCACATCTTCAAACACCAGCATGGATCAGGGTGGCGGGAGAGAATGAGGCTGAGGGTTGGAGCGAAGGAGAGAGGTGTCAAGACTTCAGTTGTAAATGGACTGAGATTGAGAGAGCGGAGAGGGGACACTCACCAGGCAGCGGGACACTCGCTCCCAGCCTGTGGGGGATGCCTGGGGGCTGCAGTCCCAGATCACCAGGGACCTGCCACGGAGAAGGTGAGGGTCACCCAGGCAGGTATGGAAGTGGGTGCAGGTGTGGACACGGGGTCAGGTGTGGCAGTGGTTACAGGTGTGGAGGTGGTGCCGCTGTGGATGCAAGGTGAGGTGAGAACAGCTGTGGGTAGGACAGGACAAGGTGAGGTGGCTGGGGAAGCCAGTGAAAACACCAGGAGGCTGGATGCATGCTGGGCAAGTGAGAGGGCAGAGGGTCAAGAGGGTGACCAGTCCGGGGTGCCACGGCGGCGGAACGTCGTAACAGGGAGCTTCTGGTGAGCTCAGTGGTGTGATGGAGCAGAGTAGACGGAGGGGCCTGGCAGGGGCAGGACTGAGTCCGCCGCGAACATGGTGGCAGTTTCATGGGCCAGGTGAGGTGGGCGTCGTGCAGGGGTTCATCTTTTCTTAGGACACTTGAGTGTGTATAAGGCTGGCGGGCAGGAGAGGCTGGGTGCGGGCCACAGGCAGCAGGAGAGGGAGGGGAAACGTGGGGTTAGGGACAGGAAGGCAGTGCCAGGCAGCGTCACCACGGGCCTCAGACCTCAGACAGGAATGGCAAGGTGGGGGGGAGCTCCTCCATAAAACTATGAAGAGTGGTATTTGATGACATCGTCAATGCAAAGACAAATCGGGTCCAGGCTGGAGTCGTCATTTTTATATGCGTATTGTCATGTTCATTTCTCTTCTGGTTTCACCCCACACCCCGCAGGCCGACCTGTGCCTGGGGATGGGGAAGCCTGGGAGCTGGTGGAGGAAGGTCTGAACAGCTCGTAGTGGCCCGTTCAAGAGAACTCCAAAATATAGGGGATTTAAGAATGAGGATGTCATGCACACATTTTCCATTTGTTTTCGAGGTAACGTCGGTGGTCTCCAATCATGCTTTCCAGTTCTGAGACTCTCATATGACAGGAATGGAAAACACAGCACAATGCCTGCCTGAGAGTTAGGTCTGTCCCCTCGTGGCGCAGAACCTTTCACAGGGCAGTGGGGATGCAGGCTTTTTGCTCTAACCTGGGAACCCACATCTGCCCCCCCCCGAGGCCGAGGATAAAGACTGTGATGCCCATAGCGGCCCCCAAAGAGATATGTCCACATCCTAACCCCGTAACACCTGTGAACGTAACTTCCTGTGGAATAAGGATCTTTGAATACATATAATTAGGTTAAGGATCTCAAGATGAGACATCCTGGATCTTGCAGGCACTACGTCCAGGGACAAGTGTCCTTGGAAAGAAGAGGAGAGACAGAACAGGGAGGGAGGCTCGGGTGATGTGTCCACAAGCCAAGAGATGCTTGGAGCCACCAGAAGCTGGAAGAGGCAGGAGGGCATCTCCCCAAAACCTTCAGAGGGAGGTTTGACACCTGATGTAGGACGTCGGGGCCCCAGAACTAAGAGGGAGTGGCCACTGTTGCAGCAGCCCCAGGACACGCACATGGTACCGGGCGCAGGCAACAGTCCATGGGCTTCCAGAGGGGGCAGCCTTCAGCCTTGCTAGACCCTCCCACCAGGACCGCCCCCATCCCATGATGGGGGGTGTGGACGCCCCCTGGGGCTCTCGGCAGTTCTGGGAGGTGCAGAAGCAATCGCCCCCGCCATGCCAGTGCCCCGAGGTGGCAGGGGGCAGCAACAGAGCGGGGCCCAGGCCCAGGCACCTGTCGGGGCCCCGCACTTCGGGTTTCTGGGTGGGTGCCCTGCGCAGTAACACTCAGCACCCGGGGGGAGACACGGGTAAAATCACTCTCAAATTAAAATGTAGTTTGTTTAAAATGAGTTACCGTCTTTCTTTACTGCCGCCTCTTTCGGGACGGCCGGCTTGGTCTTCATCCTTCCTGTTTTCCCCGAGGCAGCCGGCTTCCCTGGCCCCGCACTGCACTTCGCCAAGTGTCTCTGCATATTACTCTGTCGGAGAAATGACACAGAGCACGCGGTGGAGTCAGCAGCACCGATGGAATGTCATTTAGAACCCCACGGGGAAAGGCCCGGGCGCAGGAAAGCAGGGGACGTGGGCCTGGTATATTCTTTCTTTTTCTTTCTTTTTGATTCTTATTTATTTTAGATCGAGAGAGAAAGAGAGAGGAAGAATGCTCCCGACAGCGAGGAGAGGAGCAGAGAGAGGGACAAGCAGGCTCCCCGCTGAGTATGGAGCCCAATGCTGGGCTCAATCTCATGCCCCTGAGATCATGACCTGAAGTCAGGAGTTGAACACTTAACTGACTGAACCCCCAGGGGCCCCATGCCTGGTATATTCTTATACAAAAAACATGGCTTTTTATTTTTAAAAATTTTTGAATTTATCTGAGAGAGAAAGAGAGGGGGCTGAGCAGAAAGAGAGTGGGCTGAGCAGAAAGAGTGGGCCAACGCGGGGCTCGAACCCAGGACCCCGGGATCATGACCAGAGCCAAAGGCAGATGCTCAACCACTGAGCCACCCAGGTGCCCCCAAAAGGTAGCTTTTTAAAAAGGGGGGCCCCTCTGTTGTGTTTAGGTCTAGCCAAAAGTGAGCTTATTTTGAATATATATATGTTATTTTTTTTATCATAAAAGTCAACGAAAAGACAACATTTATTCTTCTAGAATGCATCTACTTTCCAAAGTGAGGCTTGATATTGAACCAGAAATTCAACAGATTGTCAATTTTAAGAAAATCAATAATATACCGTATGAATTTTCCTGCCCTGCCAGCCTGCCAGCTTCTCTCCTGACCTACCATGCATGGGGTTACTGACGGGATATTCAATATTCTGAATTTAACAGCAAAGTCAGAGGTTCCCTGGTCAAGCCTATTAACAACGCATTCTTACATAGGAACACTTGGGATGATTTAAATGAAGCTAGAAATGTTTCACCATTTGGAAAATTCAGATGATACAGTGAGAAAGTGGTGATGTGTCATTCAATTTGCTGAAGATAGAAGGTCTCCCACCTAACTTCCACTCTGGCTCCAGTGTGATGCTCTGTGGGCCTGTCCTGGTTCATGGGAAGAAGCGGAAGGATTCGCATGAAAGTGGAGGGGAGGATGTTGTAAGTTATTGAAACTTGTTCCATTTTGGGTTGGCAAACAATGGCCCAGGGGTCAAATCCAGCCGGCCAATGATTTTGAGAAACAAGTCTTCTGGAACGCTGCTGTGTCTGTACATTTAGGAACTGTCTATGCCTGCTTTTGTGCTACAACATCATGCTTGAGTAGTTGGGTCAGAAACAGGTCTGTGAAGCTGAAAATATTACTACCTGGCCCTATAAGGAAGAAAATTTGCCAACCCCTGATTATGCACAAACTAAACCTTTCGGGGCCAAGAATTCCTTGGAGGATAGGATGATCGCAGTGGCTCCTTCCAGCAAACCACAGACTCGTGCACACGGACACATAATCTCCCTCCAAATTCACAGAGCTCATGGCTAATGACTCCGGACGTCGGCTTTGGGTTAATAAACAAACACCCCCCCCCCGCCCACACACACATCCAGCCTTTAAAAAGTAAGTGTGCTAAGATCTTAAGTAACTGATACGACATTTAGGTTGTTTGGGGTGCAGGAGCAGAGCTGTATGACAGACATGTGTGTCGGAGGGACGCTTCTCAAGAGAGGAGGGACCCAGCACTCGGAATCCCGAGCAGGAGTCCTCACCAGGGAGGAAGGACGGCCCGACGACCTGGTATGGAGACGCACTTGACTACTGTGTGTTAAAGAATGGGAGTTTGTGAATGATGCGCTTTCTAAGAATTTAAATTGGATTCAAGTATCCAGAAGAAGGGCACGTATTTCTCTATTTTTCAAGGCTTCGTATTTTGGGGCAGTTTCAGGTTCAGAGCATAATCGGGAGGGAGGGAGGGACTTCCCTTGTGCCCCCCGCCCCTCCCGCCCCTGCCACGCACAGCCTCCCCCATCATCACATCCCCACCAGAACAGGGAGCACTTTTGTCACATTTGATGAACCGACGTGAACACATCACGATCACGAGCGCTCCTGCTGCTCCGCATCCTGGCCAACATCCGGTGTCATCAGCGCTCTGGATTTTGGCCATTTTTGCTAGGTGTGTGGTGGCGTCTCGTTTTACTTGCATTTCCCTGCTGGTGTACCATGTGGGGCATCCTTTCGTGTGCTTATTGGCCGCCTGGACCTCTTCTCTGGTGCGGGGTCTGTAAAAGTCCCGAGCCCATTTTGGCATCGGGTTACGTGTATGTGTTTTCTTAGGATTGCCTTGTAAGGGTGTGTCTTCTGGACGACCGTCCTGTACCAGGGGGGACCTCCGTGTGTCTTTTCTCCCTGTCTGTACCTTGCCTTCTCAGGTCAGAAGCTGTGCATTTTGGCGAAGGCCAGCTTGTCAATGATTTCTATAGAACTTTGTTCTCCTCCCTCACTACTCTGTTGGCTATGCTGGGTTTTTTGTGTCTCCATGTAAACTCTAAAATCATTCTCTCGGTATTGGCAAAATCGTGTGCTGAGATTTTTTTAAAAGATTGATTTATGGGGGGGGCATGGGAGGGGTTGGGGGAGGGAGAGAGCTGCTCCAGCAGACTTCCCGCTGAGCACAGATTCCCATGACCCTGAGATCACGACGTGAGCAGAAATCAAGACCCAGTCACTCCCCCGCCTGAGCCACCCAGGCGCCCCCAACGTGCTGAGATTTTGATAGGAATCGCCCTGAATCTATAGACCCAGTTGTAAAGGAGTGACACCTCGACATTATTTTCTTACCCATAAACATGGACTTTTTCTCCATTTATCCAGGTTTTCTTTGATTCCATTCACCAGGGCATCTTTCATTTCCATTGTAGTAATTTTTTTGTGGTTCTTTCACAGGATTTCCATCTCTGCTGATGTCTGTTCTCGCGTGCCATCTGCTGTAGTCATTAGCACCCTTAGCACGTTAATCAGTTTTTTTTTTAATTTTAAGATTTTATTTATTTATTCATGAGAGACACTGAGAGAGAGGCAGAGACACAGGCAGAGGCAGAAGCAGGGCCCATGCTGGGAGCCTGATGTGGGACTCGATCCCGGGAATCCAGGATCACACCCTGGGCCGAAGGCAGGTGGCAAACCGCTGAGCCACTCAGGGATCCCCAATCAGGGTTGTTTTAAATTCCTGGTCGGACGATCCCAGCGTCCCTGCCACACCTGGTTTTACTGTTCCCTCCCTTCCAATTGTGATTTTGCCTTTTGGTGTGCCAGGTCACGTTTTCCTGGTAGTTGGACCAGACGCAAGCTGCTGTGAACCAGGCTTTGGTTAGTGGAGGGGAGGCGCGGGGAGGGCGTGATCTGTGGGCCGTGGCCTGGTCTCACTGTTTCCGTGAGCCGGGCCTCTGGACTGCAAGCCTCACAAGTGTTTCCCACCTCGGGTGGGACTGGATGGCTCTCGTGGGCTGGAGTTGGGTGTCTTCCTTCCGCCAGGTCTGTTAGGCTCTGATGACACCCCAGTGGGTTAGACTCAGGTGAACTGGTTTCCCCAGTGGGAGACCTTGTTGGGGAGAATGGAGTGTTCTGGGCTGTTTCAGATGGCCTCCTCCCTGTCCCCTGGTGGAAGGAAGCAGGAGGGATCCTTCTTCAGACACCTTGGGAACCTGGTCGAGCTCCTGGTGGTAAAACTCACAGTACTGCGGGGGCCCCTCTGACTGGGCCCCGTTTTAACTCTCACACTTGTCCACCTGAGCCTCCAGGAAGTCCTCAATTCCGCTCAGGTTTCCCGCCCCGGCGCTGGCCCCCTGGAGGCCTCCGCCCACTGAGTGTCTGCCCTGGGCAGCCGTGACTCTGTGTCCACCTGTCTCCGTTCTTAGGGGCAGTGGTTGGCCCTGTGTCCTCTCCTCTCCCACAGATCCTAGAAGAGTTGATTTCTCAATCTATTCAGGTTTTTACTTGCTCTTAGGACAGACTGGAGACTTCCAAGTGGAACTGGAAACGGGTTCTTTTTTTTTTTTAACAGCTTCATTGAGACTGAATTTGAAAACTATATAATGCGTCCATGTAAACTGGATAATTCTGTGGTTTATTCACAGAGTCGTAAAACTACCACCACAATCAATTTTCGAACATTTCAAAAAGAAATCCTATTTCTTTTCGCGGCAATCCTATTTCACGGCACTCTCCGTGTTCTCCTCCCCCAGCCCCTGGTAACCGCTAAGCTACTTTCTGCCTCTATGGACACTCTGGACATTTCCTAGAAAGGGAATCATATATGACTTCTTTTAAGGTTCACCACGCTGTTGAATGTACCTGTACCTCATTCCTTTTAATGGCAGAGTGACATTTCGTTGTATGGACACACAATGTTTTATCTGTTTATCAGCTGACGAACATCCGGGTAGTTTCTACTTTTTGGTGTTGTTATGAATAAGGCTGCTATGAAAACTTACATACAAGTTTTCGTGTGGTCCTGTGTTTTCAGTTCTTTGACTATATGCCTAGGAGAGGAATTGCTGGATCGTACGCCTACGGTATGTGCCACTTTCCGAAAACCAGCCAGACTGTCTTCCAAGGTGGCATCACCATTTTAAAATCCAACTGGCGATGTTAGGGGGCTCCGATTTTTCCACATATTTTGTTACCTGTCTTCTTTGATTGTAGCCACCCTCATGGCTGGCCCTAGGTGTTATTTTTTTTTTAAAGATTTTATTTATTTATTGACAGAGAGAGAGAGGCAGAGACACAGGCAGAGGGAGAAGCAGGCTCCATGCAGGGAGCCCGATGTGGGACTCGATCCCGGGTCTCCAGGATCACACCCCAGGCTGCAGGCCGCACCAAACTGCTGCGCCACCAGGGCTGCCCGGCCCTGGGTGTTCTTGCCATGATTCCATTTTGCATCTTCTCCTCAGCAATGAAGGATGCTAAGCACCTTTTCATGTGTTTACAGGCCATCTGTATGTCTTGTTTGAAGAAATGTCTATTTAGATCCTTTGCCCATTTTTCATTGGATATTTATCTTTTTATCATGAAGTTGTCAGAAGTTTTATATATAGCTCACCTCATTTTACTGTACTCTGCTCTCCTGCACTTTGTAAGTATTGCATTTTTTTTTTTTTTACAAATTGAAGGTCTATAGCAATCTTGCATCGAGCAAGTCTACTGATGCTGTTTCCAGAAAAGCTTACACAATGTCTCTGCATCACACTTTGATAATTCTTGCAATATTTCAAACTTTTTCATTATTATTATATTTGTTACGGTGATTTGTGATCAGAGATTACAACTTCCTAAAAGCTCAAATGATGCTTAGCATTTTTTAGTTATAAGGTAATTTTAAATTATATACTTGTTTTTAAGACATAACGCGACTGCACACTTAATAGACTAGAGCATAGTGTAAACGTAACTTTTACATGCACTGAGAAACCAAAACGTTCCTCTGACTCACTTTATTGCAACATGTGCTTTACGGTAGAACTAAGGTGCAAGTATTTCCAAGGTATGCCTGTATTCTAGATGCAAGTCGAAACACACTTTCGTGAACGCAGGAAAAAGTTTCAAAACTACTGATTGGATGTTCCGAGGGATTCTCTGAGGTGGATTCATTCTTTTTCTCCGTTTTCTGGCTCTTCACACCCAAGGGCAGGTTCTTGGCCATGTTGACTCTTTGCAATGTTAACTCAGTAGGAACACGACCGTGTCTGGAGTGTTGCCACTGCTTGTATTTGAGATGGTGAACTTCAGAGTATTGATGCTCCAGGATGACCCCACTACGCGACCCGGAAAAACCACAAAGAGGAAAGATAAAGCGTTCCCCCCAGAAAAAGTGTCACTTTCAGATAATTCAAAACTTGCATAAAGCCAGCAAGGAGCATGGACATCGTCTGGGGAGCATGGACATCGTCTAGGGACCTGGCTCATCATCTGTGGTGGTTTTTCTACAAGTTCTTCCACACGCTTCCTTTAAAAAGGAACCTCGATCCCCAGCCTCTTGAATGTTGGCTGGACCTAGTGATTCGTTCGTAATGAATAGAAGTAAGGGGTCACTTTTAAAACCAGGTGACAAAAGGCACAGCGGCTTCCCCCTCGCTCTGTCTCACTTGCTCTGGCTCATGAGGACACTGGAGCAGCCCAACAGAGAAGTCTATGTGGTGAGAATATGGCCAACAGCCATGGGAGGGGGCGTCATCTTGGGACTGGAGCCCCCACCCCCACCAGGCCTGGGGTGATGCAGCCCCCAGTGGACAACATGTGGACTGTAACCTCGTGAGACAGCGGGCCAGACTCACTCAGCTAAGTCCCTCCCAAATTCTTGCCCGAGAAAAAAAATGTGTGCTAATAAATGTTTAAGTTACTACGTTTTGAGGTCGTTTTGTTATATAGCAGTAGAGAACTAATACGGCGCCTAAAAAAAAAAAAAATAACACAGAAGACTAAACGTATTTCTTAGCAGAGTTCCAACAACGCTGTTCTAAGAACATCTCTGAGATGTTCCGAAAATTGCATTCTCTCTGTGAAGCAGCCTAAATCTAATTCACAGGAACAATGTTTTAAAATGTTACACTCAGAGCAGGGGTTCTTGCAGATTCTGGGGAATATGAGAATTCCCTAAAACTGTTTGCGAGGTTTTGTTTGTAGAGTCGTCTTTTTTTTTTTTTTTTTTTTTTCACGGAAGGAGAGACCACACTTTCATAAGATTTTCAAGAGCTTTGTGACTCCAAAAAACTAATAAGCACTTCCCTGAGGCAGGGTAGATGCCATCTTCGGCCCCGGCAAGTTTCTATAATTGGGTTTGAACTCCCTGAGTGTGTCAGCGCCTGTGAAGCAGAGGAACCTCTTGGAGGAGGATTTCCTGTGACTTAAGTAAGCTTACCCAGCGGGAGAAGCCTTTGTCACACTTGGGGCATTCGTAGACGGTCGGGATGAAATTTGTATCATGGTATTTCTTGAAGTGCACGTTTAGAAGTTGCTTCTGTCGGAAACATTTATTGCAGGAGAGGCAGGTAAATGGTTTCTCGCCGGTGTGGGTACGTATGTGGACGGTCATATGACGTTCCTGGGAGGGAACACAAGCAGTTTAGCTACTTACGGGGATTTTTTTTTAGTCCTTGACATTTTCTATTATATGCCTTTCCTCCCTCTCCAAAGACGAGTATGTGATTAAGAAAAATGACAGCACATACACTGTCAGCCTGGGGCTGCTACGGTGACAGCAGTCTGGCCAGCTGTGACACAGACTTGCGCACCGTCCCTGCCATCAGGCCACCAGCGGGTCGTGCAGCCCCTCGGGGCATGTGGTGGAATGTTCCTTGGGGAGTGAAATGATAAACCTCTGTCGCTCCAAGAGAGCTCATGGATTTGCAGCCCGACTTCTATAACTATTTGCAACGACCCGAGTTTACGTAGGGCAGATAGAACCTGCACACTTAAAATCTAATGTCAGAGGGGCACTGGGGTGGCTTGGTTAACATCCGACTCTTGGTTTCAGCTCAGGTCATGATCTCGGGGTCGTGGGATCCAGCCCTGCATTAGGCTCCCTGCTCAGTGGGGAGTCTCCTGCTGCCCCTCATCCTGCTCACGCTCTCTCTCTTTCTTGAATAAATACATCTTTTTTTTTGAATAAATACATCTTTAAAAACTTTTTAAACAAATCCAATGTCAGAGTTTCAATTCAGTGGCTATTTGGAGCTGGAAGTATATTAAGCATTTAAACATTTCACCTCCTGCTTCCTGATAAATATTAGGACGCATCTTAATATCTTTTTAAAAGCTTAAAAGTGATAACACTGTTCTTAGCGAAGAAATAACCAGAAATTGTAACTAATATTTACGTGAGTTAATAATTTAGAAAAAGCCAGGTGCAGATATATATACATAAAGTCAAGCAAAAGTACTAATTTTATCTGTTTTACTTAAATGTTATGATCACACAAGGGAGACACACGCTCATGTCGACATCACTGTTCGCAGCGGAACCGACCGTGATTCTCCAAGGCTCTCTCTCAAGGGCACCCTCTTCCCCAAACACCTGTCCTCTCTCTCCCTCCTTCCAGGACAGCATGGTGCCCCGTGGGACCGTGATGAACTCATACCGGGGAGGTATGAGCCACACTGTCCTGGGAGGAGGGGGAGAGGACAGGCGTGGTGGGGGGGAAGAAGGTTCTTTCTGTATTCCATCACATTAAAAATCCCCTGATCTGATACTTTGCATGAATCTTTTACCCACACGTGATTTTGTGATATAAGAGACTGATCAGTCATTTGGCAAACATCAGTTTACTGAGTTATGGAGAGCTTCTAAATGCTGACACATTTCATAACGCTCTATTAAAAAAAAAACATGCTTTCTTAAAATCACTCCAATCTCATTAAAAAAGCCTTAAAGTGTTAAAAGCTGTTGAACTCATGGTGGTGGCTACACAAATTTCTAATTGTTAGTTTTCTCTTGACAGCTGAAATCATATCCTCGGCAACACATTTTCCTCGAAGTGATGGACTCGCTGTATTTATTTTCAAGAAAAAGGCACAGAGTCCTGCCAAATGTCTCAGACTGAAGCAGTGGAGTCCATCACTTGCATTTTCAAGTGAAAACAGTGGTTAGTGAAAGAGTGGCTAGTTGAGCTGGCAACTCCAACTCCGCCACTTGAGCTTCCCTCCAGACAACTGCTGCGCTCCGGAAGATGGTGGAGCGCTTCATCGTTACAAGTATTCAGGGTCAAGACTGAATGTAGCTGGTAATTGTTCCTGCCTCAACAAGGACATTCTTTTTCTTTTTTTTTTTTTTCCATTCAGAGGCGGAGAGAGAGAACAGGCAGAGACACAGGCAGAGGGAGAAGCAGGCTCCATGCAGGGAGCCCGATGTGGAACTTGATCCCGGGTCTCCAGGATCACACCCCAGGCTGCAGGCGGCGCTAAACCGCTGCGCCACCGGGGCTGCCCAACAAGGACATTCTTAAATAAAACTGCCTTTTATCTTTGGTCCAGCACAGGATGGCGAGAAGAACACAGCTTAGTCCTGCCTGGTGTCTCTGCTCTGCTTTGTTCTGAGGCGCCTCTGCTGCTTTGGCACCATCACGGCCCATGTCAACATAGTGAAAAGGGCAAATAATGCCCTGGTGTTAATTCATTAGCTAAAGATAACTTTGATCTTAGGGCCCTGACTGGTTTCAAGGACATGCAGAGGTCTGTAAGCCATACTTTCTTTTAAAAAATATTTTATTTAATTATTTTAGAGAGGAAGAGAGAGAGTGTGATGCACATGTGGATGGAGGGGCAGAGGGAGAGGGGAAATCCTGAAGCCAACTCCTCGCTGAGTATGGAGCCTGACACGGGGCTCGACCTCAGGACTCTTAAGATCATGACCTGAGGGATCCCTGGGTGGCGCAGCGGTTTGGCGCCTGCCTTTGGCCCAGGGCGCGATCCTGGAGATCCAGGATCGAATCCCATGTCGGGCTCCCGGTGCATGAAGCCTGCTTCTCCCTCTGCCTCTGTCTCTGCCTCTCTCTCTCTCTCTCTGTGACTATCATAAATAAATAAATTAAAAAAAAAAAAAGATCATGACCTGAGCTTAAGCCAAAAGTCAGACGCTTAATCAACTGAGCCACCCAGGTGCCCCTGTAAACTACACTTTTAGGAACCGTAGCTTTGAAATATTGGCCCCAGACTGCTTTCTGGTTATTCTGAATACACTCTTTCAGGAAAGCATGACTTTTATCAGTACTTTCTTTCTTTCTTCTCTTTCTTTCTTTCTTTCTTTCTTTCTTTCTTTCTTTCTTTCTCTTTCTCTTTCTTTCTTTTCTTTCTTTCTTTCTTTCTTTCTTTCTTTCTTTCTTTCTTTCTTTTCCTTTCTCTTTCCTCCCTTTTCCCTTCCCTTTTTCCTTTCCTTTCCTTTCCTTTCCTTTCCTTTCCTTTCCTTTCCTTTCCTTTCCTTTCCTTTCCTTTCCTTTCCTTTCCTTTCTCTATTTATTCATGAGAGACACACAGAGAGAGGCAGAGACACAGGCAGAGAGAGAAGCAGGCTCCTGTGGGGAGCCTAATGTAGGACTTGATCCCGGGACTCTGGGATCACGCCTGAGCCAAAGGCAGACACTCAACCACTGAGCCATCCGGGCGCCCCTTTTTTTCAGTATTTTCAAAGTGACAGAGAATCCCCTTCCAACCACCCCTGCTTCCGTATACCACTGCCTTCCTCCATCTCCCAAACCCCCTGAAATGTAGTACCTGCTTGCAGGCATAACTGCAGTGTTCACATTTGAATCTTTTCTCATTTTTATGGGTTTTCTGGTGCTGAATGAGGGCATAGCGTTCATGGAAGACAGAAGAACAGTAGTGGCACTTCATCTCCATGGCTTTGTAAGTATGCAAGTTGCTCAAGTGGACACCTAAAACCAGTGATAGAACGTTAGTCGCTGAGACGGTATTATTTCTCTCCCGGGCCCTCTGTGTCAAGGCTTCTCCATCTCAGCACTATTAGCACTTGGAGCTGATTTCTTCTGGGGTGGGCTGTCCTGTGCCCTGGAGAAGTGTAGCGGCATCCCTGGCTTCCACCCACTAGATACCAGCAGCATCCTTTCCTCCCCAGCTGTGACAACCAGAATGCCTCCAGATAGTGCCAACTGTCTCCTAGGGAATGAAACCATTCCCTGCTGGGTGCTGCTCAAAATGTACCTCACGCTGACAACTCAACCGAATCCCCTTTCACTACAGAGTGAGACGGCATTGAAGGTGGGGCATGTTGCATATTGGACCTAACGTGTTCATTTAATGAAGTGCCCTGAGAGCTTTATCACGGTGTGGGCAGGTCTTTAGGATGATGTTAAGGTGATTTTGCATAACAGAGCTATAACGTCTCTATTTTTACTTGAAAAAAATTCCAGATGTTCTGTTAGAAGTCAGTGCCCTGTTTGTTTTTCCTGTGTTGTAACTGACCTAGGACCCGTCGTAAGGTCTGATGGGACATGCTCTAGAATAATTCCTGCCGAACTGAGTCTAACGCATGGTGGTTTGTGGTCCTTTGTGTAAAAGGCCACACCCCAGTGGATGACTGGAGGAGGTACACCCTAGACATGCTGACTCAGTCACAGAGGAGCCTGATTTCTCCCATTGTGGCAGGAAAGAAGACCTTGCTGGTTCACAAAGCATCATACGGGGTATGCGGAGTGGGCTGCCTACCAGGGTGAGGTGTAACCTCCATCACTTTGTCCTGTTGTCAAAGTCTTGTTTCCTTTTTGGGCAACAGGCCTGTGGCCCTTGGGTCCTACAAGGTCCCACTGGGCTATGTTTTCTGGCATGCAGGCAACTACAGGAACATTGACAGAACATTCCAGGTTAAAAAAAATGTTAAGGCTTCATCAAACACCCTCACTCTTTCAGAAATGTTCTCAAAATGACGCACCTTGTCACCAGGCTTTCTCCGGGCAAATTGGTGACTTGTATTTGGGCCACTGCATTCTGAGCATCACGCGTTCCACACTTTGGAAAGAGATATAAGATCATGGAACATGGGAGGTCCGGGAAACCCCCAAACCAAGAGGCTCATTCATTCATGGTTGCTGCCACTGCTAGATCCTGCCTGGCTTTCCTGGAGGGCAGGATAAAACCCCAAACTCCTAAATCTGCCCTTCAGAGTCACTCACAGTTAGTTCCATTCTTGCTCTGTGGTGTGGCGTGCCATTAAGAGGGCGTATGATGTCACTGCAAGGATTTCAGGCCAGAGGCTGGCCTCTTTTATTCAGGTGAGTTCCTTAAGGGGAGGGCTGTTTTGGTGCTTCTTTTTTTTGTAACCTCAGCTCCCTGAACTCTTTAGCAAGAGTCTAAGGAAGGTTTGCAGTGATAACTGATGAGAAGATTCTTAGTGTCGGAACTACTACCTGGCACCCGGGCACCTCCTAGCTTGCCTTGAGGCAGCTCACTCTGTGTCTCTAAGCCCCTCATCATCAGTAAAAATGGGCCTGGTACAGAATAAACCAGTATCTGTGGACGCGTTTTAGGAGCTGAACTACCTGTGTGATTGCTCAGCAGGTGCACCCAGAACTGAGCGGCTCCGAAAACAAGGCACGAGACGGCACTTCTGCAATCTGGCCACTAGATGGGGCCACAGGACCTCTGGAAAAACCCACCCTTTCCTGTTGCTGGTCCCGCAGGCCAGCTGCTTCCTGGTCACCAGCCCCGGGATCCACAGGTTTCCAGGCTGTGCCCCGCCCCGAGAGACAACAGATACCGTAATTAAAAGAAGTTCATTAAGCCAGACACTCACGCAGGTCACTCTTCCTGGCGATGATGGTGTCACAGTGCGGACACTGGTATTTGGGGACATTCTCGCTGTGCTTCTGTAGAATGTGTATTTTCATGGTGCCACTCTGGGTGAAGCGTGCGTGGCACACGTGGCATTCGTAGGGCTTCTCCCCTGTGACACGGATGAACAAAAGTGACCCTCTGCACGGTGGCTGCGCCCAGCCAGCCCTGATCCTCTCCAAAGGTCATGAGAGCCGAAAGCTTTTCTTTTATTCCCAGGGTCCTTTCTCAGTGCCTTCCCTGTACACTTAGCTCCATAATTAGTGCCAGATGCCTACATCAAGCCCAGACACCGTGACAGCAGGTACAGCCGTGTGGACAGTCGTCCAAACAGGCAGCTCCCCGAACATCTCATGGCTACTGCTCTGTTAGCTACCCAGTTCCCTGGTATAAAGAACCAAGACACACACCTTATAACAAATAAGTCCTGGGGATGAACAGCACAGCACGGGGAATGTGGTCAATAGTACCGTAATCGTGTGGTTAGGTGTCACCTCGTATGGTGGCAGAAGGTGACTTATCACGGCGAGCATCGCGTCAAGTATGTGACAATACCGTCACCATGTGGTACCCCTGAAGCTAGTGTCTATGTCAGCTTCAGGGCCACTAAAAATAAATAAAAAGTAAAGTAAATGCATCACGAAAGCAGCACGCTTTACGTCTTGCCTTGCAATTGGAGGTCCCGTGAAGCAGGTGACTTTTAAAACCCCGACAACCCTACAGAGGCAAACACGTGGCAGCGTTCCACCTCTCCCCGTGGGGTCACAGCCCGGCATTCACGTGGGCTCCCCCAGTGCTAAGTACATGCAAAGGTGCAGAGCCAAATCCCCACCTCGGAAATGATGGAGAAACGCGCTTCGACATCGGAGCTTTAACTGTGCTGCGAGGAACCTTCTGCATGACTCGCTTGAACCTGGGGGAGCCTGTGCTGCCGTCGCAGGGCCTGGGGCGTGCGTTACCTGAGTGCGTCCTCATGTGGCGCTTCAGCTTGTAGGTGTCCTTGCTGGCGTAGCTGCACAGGAGGCACTGGAAGGGACGCTCCCCGGTGTGCGAGCGGATGTGGCGCTTCAGCTTACTCGCCTGGCGGACAAATGAAGGGCATTGAGGGCCATCGGCACTTAAAAGTCCTAAGAGCCTTCCATTAATCAGCGTGATCAAAGATCTGGAAATTGGTCAGATGTTAACGTCAGGGCGGATTTCACACACCGAAAACTGGGAACCCGTCATTACTTTTTATTTTCCGCGGTGGATGTTGTTCTTCATTTGATGTGCGCGTATAAGGCCCTTTGTGGATAACGAGCAGTAATTTCGAGAGACTCTCAGACTCATCTTCCCTTTACAAAGGGAGAATTGAGGTCTAGCCGCTCGGAGCCGTACACGCGCTGATTTTCATTTCCAAGGCAACATACATTCGATAGTGCAAAGTTGGGATCACGCAGCAGCACGCGGAGGCCAGACTTCTGTTCTCATAAATAAAGCCGGGGCCTTGAAACGGCGGGTCTTTAATGGACCAGCATCCTTAAGAGGTGCTTCAGAGTTCTGTGGACCCTAAATGGCCCATGAATGGAGGAAGGCCCTCGCCGTCAACTAAGGACAAGTTCTAGGTGTTAGGGGTTTCCTTAGAAGAAGAAACTTCAAAGTAAAAGGAAGCAAAGTCTAATTTGATTAATTACATATCCCAGGCAATTAATTAAAAGGCAAACCACATATTCCCTCTCGTTTGATCATTTTCTGCCTGCCTGTCTGATCACCTTCTAGAACTTGTTCTTCTTCTGTAAACACTTACAGCAGGCCCTTATCTGCCTGCAGCAGAACACAGGGCAATCAGCCACACTCGGGCGACAGATTACTTCCCTCATCTACTCCATCCATTCAACTTCCTTACTAACTAATCACCCCCTACTTTCCCTAATACCTCCATTCTCCCCAACCTCCCATCCTCTACAACTCCATTCTATATCTTTACCCCTCCCCAACCTCAACTAAAACTCTCCACATTCCTAATATATACATCTCCTCCCCACCCCCTAAAACCCCCAACTCCTCCCCTTATCATCTTCTATTTCTCTCCTTTATATCCTATCATATTAATCCTTTCTCCTTTCCCATTTTATACCCCTAACTTCTATAATATCATAATACTCAACTCACCATATTCTTAACCACACAAAAACACCCCCCCCCAAAAAAAAAAAAAAAAAAAAAAAAAAAAAACAAAAAAACAAAAAAAAAAAAACCCCCCCCCCCCAAAAAAAAAAAAATTTTTCCCCCCCCCCTTTTTTTTTTTTCTTTTTTTTTATTACACACCCCCCCCCTTTTCCTTTTTTTTTAGGGGGAGCTTAGGCTATGTCCCCCTCTTAAAACAGCAACAGGGCAGGGCTTGGAAACTGTACAGAAAGGATGACGGCAGTGGCAGAGGGTCCCTACGCTGAGGCCGACCACCCCTTAGGTTGTGTGCCAGCTGCCCACCCCCCGAGGAGGGTCTCCTCCAACATGCAAGCCAGGCACCAACATGGGGGCCTCTTGGGGCCTAGGATTCTCAGGTGGCTTTGTACTTTGAAACCTTCACTGTGTGTTTCTATCCAGAGCCATCACCTTTAACTCCGAAGACAATTTTTAAAAATAGTAAGAGTGGGAAAAAATTCTTGGAACCCAATCCTGACCCTGTCCGTGAGCTTTCCTCATTTGCGAAATATGGTTGCATCATGACTGAATTTAAACTTCAACCCTCCCCTTTAACTCCGTTTGTGGGAGTGTGCGATTCCTTTCCCAACTGGGCTCGGACTCAGGACCCAGCATGCGTGCTGACGGAGCTGTTCATTGTAGACAAGTGGCTTTGTAAAGTTAAGTGTCGCATTCAGCTGTCATTTTATTTGGGGCGCGGCCGAGCTTGCCTGAAGGTATAAATAAAACGTTGAAATGACCGTGTCACATCATTGACATTTAAGAAAGGTGGTCTTTCTGTAATTAAGGAGGAAATGGGCCCTGTCTGAACCTTCAAGCAAGCTTTGTATCTGACCAGGTGCTGCTGAGGTAAGATCCAAACCTGCAGCAAAAACTCAGATTGGATCTGGGTTCTACGTTAGAGCAAATGCCTTTGGATTTTGTAGAACTGAGTACATTCCATAAAACGCCATACAGAACTTTTTAACACACTTGAGAGTTATTTCTCAAGTAGAAACGATTTTATTTATAATTTGTACACCTTTAAGTGTTGCTTTCGCTAATTGATAATCAAAGAAAAAATCCAATTTTCTTTTCTTCTTTTTCCTTTTTTTTTTTTTTTTTTTTTTTTTTTTAGAGAGAGAGAAAGTAGAAGGGAGAGTGTGTATGTGGGTGGTGGAGAAGAGGGAGGGAGGATCTTAAGCAGACTCCACACCCAGCACAGAGCCTGACACGGGGCTCAATCTCATGACCCCAAGACCATGACCTGAGCGGAAATCCAGAGTCGGATGTTTAACTGACGGAGCCACCCAGGTGCCCCTCCAACTTTCTATGTTAAATTCAGAAACTAGAATGAGTTTTATTTCCTGCATAGATTTTTGTACCAATAATACCTTTAGTAAAACCCACTTTGTAAGAGATTCTATGATGCAACTTAACTTATATGTCAACTTCTTAATAACACCATGAAGCTTTAAGTACAAGAGTGAACTTACTTCGACACTGGCATACTTGCACATGGAACATTTAAAGGGTTTCTCGTGAGTGTGTTTATAACGTCTGTGTCGGACAAGTTCTCCACTGGTGACAAACGCCATATCACAGTCACCACACTTGTAGGGCCTGGTTCCTGTAAAATCCCATATTTATCCTATTAAATGAGACTTAACCACAAGTTTTCCTAGGAATTTATAACCTATAAATGAGCCTCAGTTTCAGAACACTTTAAAAAACTAAGAGGCCCTTTAGAGCATAAGTATCCTAGACATATACAAGAAAAATCTTTTTAACATTTGATGTTTTTAGGCAAAATTGAAGACAAAACTAAAGTCGTTAAACCAAACACATTATTTTGATGTGCGAAGGGGTGGACTCACATTTATGTATAAACTTTAACACTCATCCTTAATGGCAAATATCCTTCTCAGCTGGGCTTACCTGTGTGGGTATTGACATGATTCCGCAGTAGAGTGACGGTGCGGAAAGCTTTCAGGCAAAGGTGGCACATATGGGGCTTTTCAGCCGTGTGAATTTTCATATGACGATTAAAACTTGAAATTCGAGAAGAGGTGTACATGCAGATATCACAGCGGAAGGTTCGTTTTACTTCTGCAGGAAGAAAATACAGAGTTCACATGTTGATAAAAAGCTTCCTTGAGATGTTTAAATTCCACTTCGATACATCAAAGTAACTCAGCACTTCTTTCTTTTTTAGCGTAATGTGGTAACCCAATGAAAGACATTCCATGCAAATGGTACCTGGAAAAGCTGGGGCAGCTCTAGTAATAGATAATAAAACAGATGTAAGACAATAATTGTTACAAGAGACACAGGATGGTTACTCAATCCATCACAAAGGAGAACAATTATAAACATATACGCGCCTAATAACAGAGCTCCAAAATACCTGAAGCAAACAGAACTGAAGGTAGAAAGAGGCACTTCAGTAACAGCAGGAGACTTCAATACTCTACTATTTTTTTAAGAAGATTTATCGATTTATTCCTTCATGAGGGACACACACAGAAAGAGGCAGAGACATAGGCAGAGGAAGAAGCAGGCTTCCCATGGGGAGCCTGATGCGGGACTTGATACTAGGACCCTGGGATCATGATCTGAGCCAAAGGCCGAAGCTCAACCACTGAGCCACCTAGGTGCCCCTCAATACTCTACTTTTAACAATGGAGAGGACAACTAGACAGCAAGGAAACATAAGACTTAATACTATAAGCCAAACAGATACAACAGACATCTACAGAACATTCCACTGAACAACAGCACAATGGACATTCTTCACAGGTGAGTATGTTTTTCTTCAGGAAAAACCATGTGTTAGGCCACAAAACAAATGTTGATAAATTAGGGACAGCTTCGTGGCTCAGTCAGTTGAGCATCTGCCTTTGGCTCAGGTCATGATCCTTTGGGCTCCCTGCTTCTCCCTCTCCCTGCCCCCTGTTCATGCTCTCCTCATCTCTCTTTCTCAAATAAGTAAGTATAAAATCTTTTAAAAAAATGTTGATGAATAAAAAATATGAATAATATGCTCTCTGACCATCATGACATGAAATCAAGAATCAACAACAGAAGGGAATTTGGAAAATTCATAAATACATGGAAATTAAACAACACACTTACAAATGACCAATGGGTCAAAGAAGAAATCACAAAGACATTGTGGAATACTCGAGTTGAATGAAAGTGAAACAACAAAGCTTACTGAGTGTAGCTAAAGTAGTGCTCAGAGGGAAATTTTTAGCTGCAAACAGCTACATTAAAAGAGAAAAAGCCACTGGGTGTTATTCTGTATGTTGGTAAATTGAACACCAATAAAAATTAATTTATAAAAAAAATAAATAAATAAAAGAGAAAAAGCATTTCAGATCAATAACCTAACTTTACATCTAGAGGAACTAGGAAAATAAGAGAAATCTAAACACAAAGCTAGCAGAAGGAAGGAAATCATGAAGACTGGAGTGGACATCAATAAGATTGAAACAGAAAAACAAGAGAACCAATGAAAGCAAAAGTGGTTCTTTTAGAAGATCACCATTGACAAATCTTTACCTAGACTTGTAACCAAGAAACAAAAGAGAAAAGTCAGATGAACAAAATCAGGAAGGGAAGGGAAGTGGGGGACAGTACTACCAACTATAAAGGGTGAAGGAGCTTATAAGAGAAACCTCTGAATAACTTGGAACAAGCCAATAAACCAAATGACCCAGATGAAATGGAAAATTTCTAGAAACACTTAAACTACCAAAACTGGCTCAAGAAGAAATAGAAAATCTGAATAGCCCTATTGTAAATCAAGAGATTGAGTCATGAATCAGAAACTACTCACAAATAAATCCCTAGCTCCAGAAGGCTTCACTGGAGAATTCTTCCAAATGCTTAAAGAACTAACATCGATTCTTTTCAAAGTTCACACACGAAAAAGTAGGACACTTCCTAATTCTGGCCTAATTGGCTGGTATTACTCAGATACTAAAGCCAAAGGAAAACTATGAAGCAACATCCCTTATATATATATATTTTTTTTTTTTGCTTTTTTTTTTCAAGATCCCTTATAGATGGAAAAGTCTCCACTAGAATATTAGCAAACCAAACTCAGGAGCTTATTAAAAAGATTGTGCACCGAGACCAAATAGAACTTATCCCAGGAATGGGAGGGTGGTTCAACATACGAAAACCAATCAGTGCAACACACCCTATTAGCCAAAGGAAGGGGTGGAAAAGCACCATCATCTCAACAGAGTAAAAAAAACGATTCACAAAATCCAGCAGTCTTCACAATGCCACACCCAACAAACTTGAAATGGAAGGTTTATGGGTTGAATTGTGATTCCCAAAGAGATACACTGAAATCCTAAGGGTAAGTATCTGTAATTGGGACCTTACTTGCAAATAGGGTCTTTGCAGATGTCATTAAGTTCAGATGATCATATTGGATGAGAGTGGGTATGACTGGTGCCCTCAGAAGAGGAGAAGAAACACAGGTAGAGACACACAGGGAGGGAGAATTTTATGTGACAACAGAGACAGAGACCAGAGATACATCTGTAAGCCAAAAATGCCATGACTGTGACAAGGCCTGAAGCTAAGAAAAAGCCCAGAATTCATTCCTTCCTAGAGCCTTGCAACACCAGCATCTCAGACTTCCAGCCTTCGGGACTGTGAAAGAACATATTCCTGTTGTCTAAGCCACCCAGTTTGTGGCATTTTGTTGGGGGCGGTGCCAGGAAATGAATACAGGTACCCATTAAAAAAAAAAAAAACAGGCAAAGGATTTCAACAGACCTTTCTCCAAAGACTTACAAATGGCCAATAAGCACATGAAAATATACCATCCTGCAGTTAATTTTTCACCACCTTCCTACATCATTATTAGCATCAGGGAAAAAATGCAAATCAAAATCGCAATGGGATAGCTCTTTATAGCCACCGAGATGGCTCTAATATTTTTTTAATGGGAAATAAGTGCTGTAAGGGCTTGGGGACACTGGAACCCTCCCACATTGCTGGTGGGAGTTTAAGTTGGTGCAGCTGCTGGGGGAAACCGTGAGTTCCTCAAAAAGTCAAATATAGATTGACCACATGACTCGGCAGTTCCAGTCCATTCCTAGGCACACACTCAAAAGAAGAGAAAAGAAGTGTGCAAACAAAAACTTGTACGTGAAGGCTCACAGCAGCATTACTCACACTGAGTAAAATGTAGAAACAGCCCAAATGGTGATGGATGGCTCGGAGCATAAACAAAACCTGCTATATCCACACGACGACTGACCACTCAGGGATGAAGGCATGAAGCTCTGATAAATGCTAAGTGAAGAAATGTGAAGGCCACATTTTATGTGTACGAGTCCATTTAGATGAAGTGTCCAGAAACGACTGCTACGTGGGTACACTTCTCTTTCTCTCTCTTTTTTTTTTTTTAGATTTTACTTATTTGAGAGAGAGAGAGAGAGAGAATGAGCACAAGCAGGGGGTGCAGCAGAGGGAGAGGAAGTAGCAAGCTCTCCTGAGCAGGAAGCCCTAGTCAGGGTTTGATCCCAGGACCCTGGGATCATGACCTGAGCCAAAGGCAGATGCTTCACCAGCATCTGAGGGCGACTCAGATGAGCCCTCCAGACGCCCCATGGGTACACTTTTCTTTGGGGGATGAAAGGAGCCTGGAATTAGTGGGGATGGTTGCACAAAACTGTGAATAGATTAAAAATAAAATGAACTAGGAACTGGGAGTTTGGGGGGTATGTTCTCTCTGATTTAAATATATGAGAAGCATCATATATACGCATATATATTAGAGCAAAGACTGCAAACTCAGCCACCTGAAGCCAGACACCATAAACCTAAATTAATGACTCGAACCACATGTAAGAGCAGTCAGTGGTGGTGTGACTTTCGAAACTGAGTCACCTTCCAGCCCCAGCTACCTGTTGCTGGGAGGAAACAGCTGGGTGTTGCCGGGTGGGACTTTGTACCATGAGCTGGAAACGGACATGGGGCGGGGGGTGAATAGATTTCTAAAGAAGCTAAACAAGTGATTTTTGAGGGTCACCTTCACCCTGTGGCTGCTGTGATGCAATCTCAATTTTAATATGACTTTAATTGAGCTTCACGGTCCTTCCAAACCTGGCCTCATCTCCCTCTTTATGCACCCATCCTCGGGGCTCTCCCGATGCCAGAGAGCTGCCCACCCTCTCTGAGAAGCCACACACTGCCGGGGCTGCCCCCACAGCCACTTCCTGCTGCCTGGAATGGTGATCCCCAGGCTTAATGGCTTCTGAGTCCTCTTCCCTGGCTTCACCTAAGCATCGCCTCCCTGGACGATGCCTCTGCTGCCTTCTGGACTTCACTCCTTCTCCTGGCCCCGAGGCCTTGCTCTGGCCTCCATCAGCCTCGCACCATCCCTCCACCCCAGGGGCTGCAAACCCGGGGCAGATCAGGGGCCCACCTTCCACGTTCCTACACAGCACTTTGTAGGAATGTTTTTCCTCTGTTTTAAAACCCCTTGTGTCTGAGACACAAACTCTTTCAGATTTGACTCACAACACAGGACACTACTTTAAAATTTCTCCCATTTTCTGGCATTTTGAAAGCAACTAAAAGTCAACCACGTAAAATTTCAACCATCATCTCGTTCCCCTAAAGGGAAACAGCAGCCCCCTCATACCCATGGTTGCCTAACGCTAAACGAACTGGCCTACCCTTCGCCTTTTTTTGGATTTTTGTAGAATTGGCTTTTTCAACATGTCCTTGACTGGATGCTGGTTTTTCTTCTTCTTCTTCCACGTTTAAGTTTGAAATGGTCAGAACAATTTCGTCTCTTCCTTCATCTCCCGGCTTCGCCTCCACAAAAAAGAGCTGCTCTCCTGCTTGTGCATTGAATCTTCCTTCAGCTGGCTGCTGGTCCTCCTCCTGACCTTTCTCGAGCTAATGGATAAAAGTGAGTATTCAGACAAATCCTCTACTATTAATGACAATCGACAAGACTCTGCCTTGACGAAATCATAGAATACATAAAGAAAGACAAGAATGAAGGAAGCACAGAAGATCATCTCTTGCACCCAAACACCATAATTATTAAGTAGCCAGGGTTTTGGGAACGAAACTTAACACTGTTCTTTTAAAAACGCAATGCACCTTGCAGCCTTCTGACTGGTATAACTTTTTAGACTCTTGGAAAAGAACATGAGGTCTCCCAAGATTTTCCTAGGGCAGTCTCTTTGCTCTTTACTGTTTACTCTTTATTTTTATTTCAAAGGCCATTTTTAAACCACTTGTTCATACCTAATATCACAAAAGGCAACTAAAAAACAAAAGCAGTCTGAGCTTTTTTTCTCCATGGAAAGGGTCTGTTTATTAAAACCCACCATACCTTGACCAATCTGGTGCTTTCAGCCGGGTTCACCACAAGCTTACTTTCTTCATTGGCCATGGCCACACTGCCCTCCAGAAGGTGCAGCTTCATCACCTCTATCTTCTGCAGGGAGTACACCTCCTCCTGGATGCTAAAGGCCACGCACTGCTGGGAGCCCTCACCCAGCCACAGCAGAGACTGCAGCCCACCGCTGGCCTGCTGCACCATCACCTGCACCCCTTCCTGGTGCTGCGGGGTCAGCCAGCTCATGTCCTGCTGCTCCACATCTTCAGAGAAGTGTACCGTTTGCAGGGTCAGAATGTGCTTCTCGCTCTCCTCCGTGGTGACCGGCAGCTCCTGCTCGGCCTCCAGCACCTTGGCCTGGAGGGGCCCGTAGGGGCACTGGGCTTCCACGGCCCCATCTCTGGGGCTCAGGTGCTCCCTCCCCCTGCACACTCCACCTTCTTCCTCCTCTAACAGGATTTTTTCTGGTATCAGCTCCAGTTCTTTGATTTGGGTAAACTGCTCAGGAAGGACAGAGATCTCAGTCCCCGCCATTGTGACGTGGCCTGTTTGAGAGAGAAGAGAGCAGTCTTGGTAGGCCACAGTGTGATTTGGTTAAGGCATGACAAGGTCCTGGCCTCCTAGGAGTCAGGAGTAAGTTGATTCGACCTAGGCTTAGGAGGGACTGGGGCTAAGTAGAGTTTAGGCAAAAGCAGGAGTTAGTCCAGAAGATTCTAGAAATAATAGGTTTGGGCCTGAGTAAGCTTTTGGGAAATACACATTCTAGGCTTAGCAAGGTGGGGCCCCAGCAGGGTCTGGGCCAGTGCACACTGCCAGGTCTGAAAAGCTGGGGCCTGAGTGGGGGCTTGCAGCAAATGCACTAGGACTAGCAAGGGGGCACCCCTGCAGGGTCTGGGCCAGTGCACACTGCCAGGCCTGAAAAGCTGGGGCCTGAGTGGGCTTGCAGCAAATGCACTAGGACTAGCAAGGAGGCACCCCTGCAGGATCTGGGCCAGTGCACATGGCCAGGCCTAAAAAGCTGGGGCTTAGGAGGATTTTCAGCAAATGCACTAGGACTAGCAGGGGGGCACCCCTGCAGGGTCTGGGGCAGTGCACATGGCCAGGCTTGCAAAGCTGGGGCCTGAGGGGGTTTTCAGCATATGCACCAGGACTAGGACTAGCAAGGAGGCACCCCTGCAGGATCTGGGCCAGTGCACACTGCCAGGCCTGAAAAGCTGGGGCCTGAGGGGGTTTTCAACAAAGGCACTAGGACTAGCAAGGGGGCGCCCCTGCAGGGTCTGGGCCAGTGCACATGGCCAGGCCTAAAAAGCTGGGGCCTAAGAGGGTTTTCAGCAAATGCACTAGGACTAGCAAGGGGGCACCCCTGCAGGGTCTGGGCCAGTGCACATGGCCAGGCTTGCAAAGCTGGGGCCTGAGGGGGTTTTCAGCAAATGCACCAGGACTAGGACTAGCAAGGGGGCGCCCCTGCAGGGTCTGGGCCAGTGCACATGGCCAGGCCTAAAAAGCTGGGGCCTGAGGGGGTTTTCAGCAAATGCACCAGGACTAGCAAGGGGGTGCCCCTGCAGGATCTGGGCCAGTGCACATGGCCAGGCCTAAAAAGCTGGGGCTTAGGAAGGTTTTCAGCAAATGCACTAGGACTAGCAAGGGGGCGCCCCTACAGGGTCTGGGCCAGTGCACATGGCCAGACCTAAAAAGCTGGGGCCTGAGGGGGTTTTCAGCAAATGCACTAGGACCAGGACTAGCAAGGGGGCACCCCTGCAGGGTCTGGGCCAGTGCACACTGCCAGGCCTGAAAAGCTGGGGCCTGAGTGGGTTTGCAGCAAATGTACCAGGACCAGGACTAGCAAGGGGGTGCCCCTGCAGGATCTGGGCCAGTGTACACTGCCAGGCCTGAAAAGCTGGGGCCTGAGGGGGTTTTCAGCAAATGTACCAGGACTAGCAAGGGGGCGCCCCTGCAGGATCTGGGCCAGTGCACACTGCCAGGCCTAAAAAGCTGGGGCCTAGGAGGGTTTTCAGCAAATGCACCAGGACTAGCAAGGGGGCGCCCCAGCAGGGTCTGGGCCAGTGCACATGGCCAGGCCTAAAAAGCTGGGGCCTGAGGGGGTTTTCAGCAAATGCACCAGGACTAGGACTAGCAAGGGGGCACCCCTGCAGGGTCTGGGCCAGTGCACATGGCCAGGCCTAAAAAGCTGGGGCCTGAGGGGTTTTTCAGCAAATGCACTAGGACTAGCAAGGGGGCGCCCCTGCAGGGTCTGGGCCAGTGCACAGTGCCAGGCCTAAAAAGCTCGGGCCTGAGTGGGCTTGCAGCACATGCACTAGGGTAGGACTAGCATGGTAGGGCCTCTGCAAGCTTCCCACCATTACGTGACTCTAGATTGCACCCTCTGCGCCACGCGGCCTTGGGCCCACGGCCTCCAGCTCACGGAAACTTGGCTGAGCACCCTTGCAACCCGGATGGCGCACCCTCAGAGCCCGGGGCCCCCCACTCCGGTCCCTCCCCGGCGCGCCCCTCCACACCAAGCCCGGGCCTCTCCCACCCGCCCCAGCCGCCCGCCCACGCCCAGGGGGAGCGGCCTGAGTTCTGCAGGGGGCTGGAGTCTAGTCCCTGGGGCGGCCCCTCACCCGGGAGGCGTGGCCTGGGCGCCCAGCCCACCCGGTCTTGGTGGCCTCCGCCTCGCGCCGCGTGCTGCCCGCCGCTGCCTGTCGCCTGTGAGCCGCCTGGGTGCGAGGGTTAAGCGCAGCAGTGCGCAGGCGCGGGGTGGGAGAGCTGGGGGTCCACGTGCAAGGGGCGGAGCCCGGGAGAGGGGGTAATGGGCGATGGGGGAGGTCAAGGGGGTGGGTACCCTCAGGGGGAGCTGAGACCTGAGGAGGATGGCTATGGAGGGGAAATGGGGGGGGCCCTGCGGGGTGCACAGGGACCTAGGGGATGGATGTGGAGGGAGTGTAGGGGCACCCGCAGGGGGCGCTGAGATGGAGGGGGATGCATGCGGAGGGGACCTGCAGGGGGCGCTCAGAGACCCTGGGGGCAGATGGAGGAGGGGGAAGCAGAGGGGGCACGTGCGAGGGCAGACAAGGTGGGGGAAGTGCCAAAGGAGTTTGAAGGGTGGAGGGGTGGAGGGGCAGGGAGGTGGAGGGGCAGGGGGGTGGAGAGGAGGGAGCCCTGGAGAGGCCGGTGGGCGTGAGAATGGCAGGGAGCCCAGGACACGGGTGGGGGTGGGAGTGGAGAGGAGAAGTGGGGAGGCGGAAAGGGCGCAGGGCTGAGTGGAGCAGGGGAGGAGCAGGGCACGGAGGGCAAGGAGGGTGGGGTGGGGGTGGGCTGCAGTCCAGCTTTGGTCTTTCCCAGAGCTTTATTTTTTATTTTTTAGTATTTGGATGTCTTTCTTTATTTCTTTTTTTTTTTAATAATAAATTTATTTTTTTATTGGTGTTCAATTTGCCAACATACAGAATAGCACCCTTGCAACGCACTTCCCCAAACATCCGCAGCCGGGAGGGAGAAAGGGGTTGGGGGGGCACACCGCGGGACTGGTCACAGGCCCTAACTCTTGTGCCGGTTGCACCTCTGTGCATGCTTTTTCTTTTCTTTTTTTTTTTTAATAAATTAATTTTTATTGGTGTTCAGTTTACCAACATACAGAATAACACCCAGTGCTCATCCCGTCAAGTGTCCCCCTCAGTGCCCGTCACCCATTCACCCCCACCCCCCGCCCTCCTCCCCCTCCACCACCCCTAGTTCATTTCCCAGAGTTAGAAGTCTTTATGTTCTGTCTCCCTTTCTGATATTTCCCACACATTTCTTCTCCCTTCCCTTATATTCCCCTTCACTATTACTCATATTCCCCAAATGAGTGAGAACATACACTGTTTGTCCTTCTCCGATTGACTTACTTCACTCAGCATAATACCCTCCAGTTCCATCCACGTTGAAGCAAATGGTGGGTATTTGTCGTTTCTAATGGCTGAGGAATATTCCATTGTATACATAGACCACATCTTCTTGATCCATTCATCTTTCGATGGGCACCGAGGCTCCTTCCACAGTTTGGCTATTGTGGACATGGCTGCTAGAAACATCAGGGTGCAGGTGTCCCGGCGTTTCATTGCATCTGAATCTTTGGGGTAAATCCCTAACAGTGCAATTGCTGGGTCGTAGGGCAGGTCTATTTTTAATTCTTTGAGGAACCTCCACACAGTTTTCATGCTTTTTCATGGAAACTAATAATTCTGATGGTCTCCGGGAGGAGTTGGGTTGGTGTTTCCAGCTAGATGCAACATAAATATAAGTTCAGAGAGCTAAGAGGGGATTCAAATCATTTGCAGGTCACTGATTTTTTTTTTTTTATTTTAAGGTACGGTGTTACAACATCCCAGGCAATCGCTCTATTCTGTTTTTACTTTTTTTCCCCCAAAATTGCAATGTAATTTTAATAGAATTTTCTTGTTTGATGATTGTGAATAGATTTGTTTGGATGATGGCGGGGGAGAGGGGAGGAACCCCAGCAGCTTGGGATGGGTTTCTCTCTGGGTCCACCGCCAGAGAATTCTCTCTGTCCACAAAAGTGCTTTCCACCTGCCAGGCCTTCTCTTCCTCACGTTTGCTTCATATAGCTCTCTGGATTCACATCCTTGTGCAGAGTGTGGATGCCTTTTTCTTTTTTTCTCCATTTTCAATGATACAAAGAACTAAATTCACTTTTTAAAAGAGCCTCATGTACCCGCAGTAATGCATTTGTTAGCTAGATGGTTGGATCTGTGTCTGGGGTTTCTATTACAATCTGTGTACTATATGGAGAAGATAACTATTTGAAGGTCACTGGGAAAATAGTGTGTTCTAATAACTTCTTTTAAATCATTTAAATGAGTTTTTCTGCTTGAACAATCACCACCTATTTAGTGCCTTCTCTGGTAATTTTGCATTTATTGCTCCAACACGCATGCAGCTGGAAAGTTCTGCTGCTATTTATGTTATAAATTTGTGATTAGAAATTTGAACTACCGATTAAAAACAAATGTGTTAAAGGTGATATAAGGCCAACGGGAGAGGCTGGAGAGGGGAACCGAGGTGCACTATGAGGGGAAAGGTAGGGGCTTAAGGGGAGAGAGGCGGATGTGAGAGGGGAGGTGCCCAGAATGAGGGGTTGGGGGAAAGGGACATGGATGAAGGAGACTGGCAGGAGGAAAAGCAGATTTCCTAAACTTTGCTCCTGAGGTGGGAGGTTGCACTAAAGATTGTTATGCTTACTCTTGGCAGATGTTCCTGGGAGTGATTTTGGGAGGCAGCCATCTCGGGACCCACTAGGGGGCCTGCCCGTGAAAGATGTGTCCCTCTGAGGGGCCCTGTTTGAGCAGGTGGGGGTGGTGGGGACACCCCAGAAGGTCATCTTCCCTCGAGAGTGTCCAGGCAGCCCCACTGACTGGGGAAAGGAAAACATTTATGAGTGGATCATGAAGAAAAGCCATCCTCAGGGCTGTGAGGCGGCCCACGTGGCAGCAGCATTCCAGGGCCAGGCTGCCAGCCTAGTTGTGCCTGTGGAT